TCACAGCAATAGAAACCCTAAACTAAGGCAAGGAGGAAAGGGTTTATTTGGCTTGTACTTTCACATCATAGTCCATCATTGAAGAAAATCATGGCAGGAACTCAACCAGGGTAGAAATCTGGAGGCAGGGGTTAATGTGAAGGCAATGGTTCCAAAACTGTGGAGAAGCAATTAAGACACGTCATGTGTTTTAGGTTCTGTGCATGTGTGTGTGAGAGAGTGTGTGTGTCTACATGTGTGCATGTGTATATGTGTATAAGGTTACTTCTGGCCTTCATATATGCATGAATAGGAGTACATACATTTATCTAACATGCATACACACACATACACACATACACATGTATACAGGATCTAAGACTCTTTTTTTGCCTCTCACCAGCAGAACACTTTACAGAAGCAGGAGATTTGTTTTATCCAGTCCTCCTATGTAGCACACAACAAAATATATTCAATGGAAACTTTAATTCTGTCTATCTAGAGTTTTTAGTGCATCTTATCAATACAATGATGAACATTACTACTCTCTGTTTGAATGAACACACTCTTTACTTCAAGACCAAACTGTACTTGAAATTTGATACAAAAAAGAAAAAGAAAATGGCATGCGTTTCAAATCACCATGAACATGTCAGACAACAGGATATTGATGTTTAAAGTTGCATTGATCTAGTGTCCTGTCCTTGTACCCTATGGATGCCACCAACTCCCAGCACCTCCATGGAAGACCATAGGTGATTTTATATTCCAGACCCCAGAGTTTGTTACTCTAGATTCTGAATGTTGAACAAACACAGCTGATGTTAGATAGTAAGTGGAACTCGAGGAAGGAAACCCCACAATTTATGAATGTTAAGTTCTTGGATATTTGTGAGACGCATCCCTTGTCCAGCAAGCAGAAGCGACCACGAAATCGAGATTCCTTCCCATATCACGCCTTTATTTGGAGCACTCGGTTGAGGAAAATTGGGGAAAAGGAAAAGAGAAAAAGGACAGAGAGAGGGAGAGCAGGCGAGAGAGGGAGAAAGCGAAAGAGGAAGTGAGAGAGAGCGGAAAAACCCAAAGGGAGCTTTTCTAGGGTGGAGAGGCTCGAATGCTGATTGGTTGATGCCATTCTGCTAGGGCCCAAGGCCACAGGACCAAGGCTCTGAAATGCAAAACAAGGCCCCAAGCACTCTGGCCTGCGCGGCAGCATCAAAGGATTTGTATACCTCCAGGCTGTAGGACCGCTGGCACTATCTCACCAAGGCGACATCCTGGCGGCTCCTTACAGATATTCTTGTGTTTTTCAAACAAAGCAAAAAGCAAAAAAGAAGATTGTCTTTTCTGCCTGTGTTTTGGAGGAGTTACTGCTCTTTTTTTTCATTAAAACTTGGATAGATTTTTAAAATTACAGTACCTTTATGGTTTCGTTAAAGATGAATGGAGATAGTGTCAGATCTGAGTGAAATTCTTTACACGACAAGAGACTTACTTGAGTCTGTGTTACGTTCATCCCCGAACCTATGTAAATGTAGAGACTCTAGAGTTAGAAGTCTTATGAACTCAAAAGCGGATGTTTCATCTGACTTGCTTGGATATATAGATTTCTCTCATCTTTTAAAAATTCAAACACTTTAAAAAGGTTTGTTTATTTATTTTATGTGTATTTTGCCTGGGTGTGTGTCTGTGCATAGTATATGAGCAGTGCACAAGGAGGTGGGAAGAGAGGATCGGATTCCCTGGAGCTGGAGTTGAGATGGTTTGAACCACCATGTGGGTGCTGGGACCTGAACCTAGGTTCTCTACAAGAGCAAATGGAGCTATCTCTCCAGCTTCAAGATTTAGCAAAATTTTGTACTATATAGCCTTGTTTAGAAAACAACCGTCTGGGGAAAGCGACCACAACCCAGAGCTCTGTCCTCTGTTTTGCTCTGTACCTCTCCTCTAGGAGTCTCCCCTTCCTACTTTCCTCTCCTAATGAAACAAAACAAAAGTGTTGTGGGGGATCCATCAGAGACCACTCGACATGGGTGTAAACTGTACAAAGTCTTTATTAGCAAGCTGGCCACTACACTGGGTGTTTGGGAACCCAGTGTAGCCTCGAGCCTTTCTCAGGGTGAAACACAAAAACCATGTTCTAGGTTGACACACTTCGGTTAACAAGAACGGTTAGCCAGAAGCAGAACTACAGAAGCTAAAAAACAAAGCTAGAATGTTTTGAGATTTTACCAGAACTATGGAGTTTGATGGATTAGACCTTTGTTTTAGTTTGGCAGGTGGTGCCGCCTATGTGCTGAGTTTTGTAGCCTGAATGGCAGTTCCATCATGGAGTCATTTGTGCTAAGGTCTGGGGCTGTGTTACATTCCCCACTGGTCTTAGTGAGTGAGTCAAATCGTGGGCTCATCCTGCTTTAGTTTAAGGTATAGGGTCCTGCTGTTAATTCAATCAGAATGAGAAAGGCCTGGTTGGCATTGACAGCAGAGCAGTTAGCCAGGGGGCCCAAGAGAACAGAGATGGGTATCAATTAATTTTTTTAACTTATTAATGGCAAGATATTTTTTTACTAATTACTCCTGATTAATTAGCATAAAAACAACAGGTTTCTCTCAAAGCCAAGTGTCCTTTATCTCATGAGAAGCAAATCTAAGCCTCTCTAATTTTGTAGGGTCATTTTTGCAAGGAAATCTGTCGTCCTAATTTAGAAATGGAAAATTTTAATTCCTCTATATCCTGATCAACCTGTCCACTTAGTTTGCAAAGCATCAGAACCATCAGTACATGCCCCCCAAGTAGTCTTAGGGGCTCAGTAAAATTGCTGTTATCCAGGTGAATTAACCCATAAGGCAGACTTGCAGACATCAAGTAAGAAGTTAAAGGTTTTGGATATAAGACAAGTTTTAGCCCCTTACAAAATCTCTAATTTTATTTGGGCTGCCCCCAGTTTTGTCAGTCTGTCGGCTAACAGGCTCCTTGGTTCATATCCCTATGTAGGATGGGGACCAGGTAGCTAAGCACAACTAGCAATTCTGGCTGACTTTTGGCCGAGAATGATTAACTTTATCCCCAGGGTCCCTTCCTGTGGTGTAAAATCTGATTACCCCCGGTTTTTCTTGTTTCCCAAGGCCAGAATCTTTTTCAAGGAATTTTTCTGGAAGCCTCAATTTTACAACCCCTATTTTTGTAAGGGACACTCCTTTGTGTCTGACAACTAGGGGGCCTAGCCACAAGGCATGCATAGAATTGTAAACTCTGTATTCTTATCTCAAAGGATAGATTTCCATATCTTTTCTTTTTTTCTATATAATCAAATGGTTAAAGTAGGTGTCAAAAAGTAAAGGGCAGATGAAATAGGGGCGGCTGGTCTGCAGTCACATCAGCTAATACCTTCCCTGTATCTGTGTTCTTTTTCCAGTCCAGGTCTGAGGGTGGTTGGGGCTGCACCGTAACACTGTATTCGTACTAAACACAAGTCTCAGGAGGTTGGAGAAGGGCAAGGAGTGAAAGGGCCCGAGGCCCAACGAAACCTTAACTTCAATGGGCCCACAGTCAGATCATCCAGTTGCCAGCTGCGTCTGTGGCTTCCACTCTCTTGACCTGGGTGTGGTGGATCCATTGTGTAATGCCAGCTACCTTCACAGCCGTGGGAGTGGAGAGAGAGAATCACTGTATAGAGTGTTTCCCAGGTTGGTTTCGGTGCCCCTGTGGCTACCTGCCTGACCCAGACAGTGTCGCTGGATCGGAGCAAGGGGAAACTGGTGGTGTACTCTGGTGTTAGCTGGGTCTCTCAGATCACTCAATGAATAGTCTTTCTGGGGGACTGGAGGGGCTGTAGTGACTTGAGAAACACTTGGTTAGAGAGTTCTGAGAACTGCTGGCTTCAGAGCCTGGGAAACAGTGAGGGAGGTCTTCCAAAAGGAGGTCCTCCAAAATAAGGTCTATCCATCCTTTATTGGACGCTGATGAGAGTTTTGTTAGAGGTTTTTTTGTTTTTGTTTTGTTTTGTTTTGCTTGACCAGAACTTTGAGTTCTGCACAATAGAGTTCTTAATCTATGTCTAAAGCTTTAGCTATTAATTGAGAGGTTTTTGGTTATGAAAGCCAGGCCATTGTTGGACCCCCATTGCTAGGGGGAGACCAAATCATGGGACCAGTTCCTGGAGGAGCTTTTTAGTTATTATTTGAGCAGTGTCAGTGAGAATGCTTCTTTCCACCCAGAAAATGAATCTATAAAAACGACCAAAGCGCTTTCATCTTGCCACAGCAGCCAGATCTCTGTGAGGCCAGTTTTGGCAGAGTTTGCTGGGGTGTTGGTCTCTCATTTTAACCCCTTCCTGAGTAAGGGCTCTCTGGATTCACTTGAGCACAAACCTGGCATCCCATGCTAGGTTGTCCAGTCTAGGGGTAGCATCCTTCGTCTGAGCAACTCAGAAAGTATTGTGGACCCCAGATGAGTAACCTGGTGAAGGTCAGGTCCCAGACTCCTGCCAGGTGTTTCTGGGAGAAAGATCTTTCTCTTTGGTGTCCTCCGTCAACCTGTGGGTTTGAGTTGTCCTTTTTTATTTCTTTTTATCATGGAGTCTCAGGTAGCACTGGGTCAGGGTGTGCCATCAGAATATCAGAATGTCAATAGGCCGCATTGATCTTAGGGCCATTTGTCTGGCAGCCAGGTCAGAAGTTTAGCAGTGGAGGACAGCAATTTGTAGGGAAAGCCAAATAGCTTCTAGGAGGGCCAAGTTTTTTTTTTTTTTTTTTTTTAAATATCCTTTTGTCCAGTGATGAGAAGTCCTCTTTCTCTGTAGATCACACTGTGGACACGCCCTGTGGTAAAAGAAGAGCAACTGTCTGTGTATATGACGGTGGACTTGCCTCTTCCCCGTCTGAAAGCCTAGGTCAGATCAGGCTGACTTCTGGGCTGAGGTACCTGGTTTGGGTCCAGATGGTTTCGGTTAAAGCAATTACTGTAGCTCCCACGTAGCTGGTTTCAGTTTTCATTTCCTGACAGTCGTGGATGAGCACTTGAGTCATCGGGCAAGAGGGCAGCTGAATGGATGGCAGAAGGTTTCTCAAACTGGACTGGAGCAGGGCCTGGTGCTGGGTGGTGCAGTCATTGGACAGCCAGTGTAAGGGTGCTCTTCGGAGGGTGTTTGAGTATGAGATCTTGATCCAGAGTCAGCTTGTTTTTTTCCTTCTATTAAACTAGCGGTAGTCGCCACAGCTCTTAGACAGTGGGTCATCCTGTGGTTACCAGGTCCGACAGTTTGGACAGGTATGTCACCGGGTGTTTTCATGGCCCCAAAGTTTGCTTAAAGCCCCTTTTGTCTTTTGTTTCCTTGGCAAATGGTTGAAAAGGTTTGGAGACATCTGGAAATTTTAGGGGTGGAGCAGAAGTCAGAGCTGCTTTTAAAAACTCAAATACCGCCAGGCGGTGGTGGCGCACGCCTTTAATCCCAGCACTCCGGAGGCAGAGGCAGGCGGGTCTCTGTGAGTTAGAGGCCACCCTGGTCTACAAGAGCTAGTTCCAGGACAGGCACCAAAAACTACAGAGAAACCCTGTCTCAAAAAAAAAAAATCCAAAAAAAAAAAAAAAAAAAAAAAAAAAAAAAAAAAAAAAAAAAAAAAAAAAAAAAAAAGAAAAACCAAACCTTCAAATACCTTCTTTCAGTCCCGGTCCAGAGCAGGGGTCTAGTGCCCCCTTTTGTGATTGCTATAGAGGCATTTCTATTTCCACAAACTCTGGCATCCAGAGGGAGCAATATCCAACTGCACTCAGGAACTCTCGACCCTGTCTCTTAGCCTTTAGAGTTGGAATACGAAGGATGGCAGCAGTCCTTTTCTGCGCCAGGCTCCTTGTGCCTCCCTTCAGCAGGCTGGCAAGGTAGGGAGCCTCTGATGTACAAAACTGTACTTTCTTAGCTGACGTTTTATAGCCCAAGGTCTGTCACTCTTTGAAGCCTTTCCCCATTGACCCTTTTATAATCTATTTTCCAGGAAACCTTGCAGGAAGGGCAGAAAGTCTGCACTTAGCATCTTTAACTCCTGGGACAAGCTGGTCCAGGTATGTTGCTTGCTGTAACCTCCCATTGGGTCTGTCCATTTGAAAGAAAAGATGGGTTGACTCACCTCTGCCCATGGGAGGCTGAAGAATGGGTCTTTCATGTCCAGGACAGTGCACATCTGCTTCGCTGGAAGAATCGAACTCATGGGAATCAGAGGTCCCAGTTTTCTTTATAGGCAAGGGAGGAGTATTCCAGGGTGACTGGCTGGGCACTAGGATGCCTGTGTCTTCAAGTCAGGCACTGCGGACTGCAATTTCCCCTTTTGTTTCCAGGGTCATTGGGTATTGTTTAATACGGATAGGGGTAGCTGAAGAATGGTGTTGGGACAGTCCTGGGTGGGTTATTTCCTTCTGACAGAGGCTATGACACCAAAATTTTGCCAGGTATCTTTAAGTCTAACTGCATGTCATCATCAGAGAATCTGACGGTGACTTTAACTTTTATAACTTTTTTCTAAAATCTGGGGCTGACTGGGTGGCAAAGGAAATATTTTAGAAGTTGTCTTTAATCCTTTTAAAAAAAGCCTAGTGAAAATGGTTTATATTCTCTTTGGTCAGTGCTAGACAAAAGGGAAAATCCGTTCTGTCCAGGCTATGTTGTCTGGCTACACTCCCCTTGCCCAGCCCAGGAGCGTTTGTTTGCTTATTTTGTTTTGTTTTTGTTTGTTTGTTTTGTTTTTTCTTTTTCTTTTTTCTTCTTTCAGAGAGTGGCAAATTTTATGGACTACCTGTTTAAAAGGAGATGGAAATCATGCAAGAGAAAAGAGTGAACTTCTCTCTTTTTCTTTGGGCTCAGCCCAGAGGAACATTATCCCTTCCCTGGTGTTTCTTAGCAGAGGCGTGGAGCAGAGCAGAGAGAGCTCACCTGGGGAACCATTCCCCTCCCTATGTGCACTCCCTTTAGATGGCAGGGGCCCTGGAGGAGAGGCCAGACCTCTCCCCACCTCCATATGGGACCAACCTTGACCATGAGCAGGAGTCAAGCAACCAAAACAACATCCTGTTTTGGAGATGGACAGGTGGAGGATTTGGAGTTTCGTTGGGTCACCTGGAAGAATCGAAAGGATTTGGGTCCCTAACAGAAGAAGACATATGTCTTAAGCCTAGTATGGGCAGAGTCTCACAAAACAGATGGAAATATATAGAAAGACACACAGAGACACACACACACAATCACAGTAGAGGCAACCAGTGATGGTCACCACACATTCATATACCTGAACAGACAGAAGAAACCCATGATGTCTCCCATGGATCCCAGACACTGGATCAGCAGCCACATCTGACCTCTCTTATGTGTCCAAACAGAAGACACCTTAATCAGACTTACATCCAGAGGTGACAGATGAGGCAACTTCCTAATTTCCTTCCTTTTGGGGTGGGGGTGTCAGACCCTTCAAATCACTGGACAGTGATTGATTCAGAGGGAACCCTGGGAACCTGGGACATCTCATGTTGCACAATCCCTAAGAGTTCCTTGACCACCAACCACACTCTTCCTTGATCCAAGGGGCTCTGAGATCCCCAGTGTCTCAAGGTCTGGTCTCTGGATCTCACTAGGGCCTCTAGGAATGGTGTGGTGTATTCATCTCAGACATGGGTTTAAGCCAATAGTAAGTCTTTTCTAGTGAGCTGGCAACTAAACTGGGTGCTTGGGATCCCAGTGTAGCCCAGAGCCTTTCTCAGGATCAATGTTTAAGCCCCAAAACCATGTTCTGGATCGACATATTTCAGTTAACAAGAACAGTTAGTCAGAATTGGAACTAGGGAAGCTAAAAGGCAAGGGTAGTACATTTCGAGACTTTTCCAGAACTATACGGGCTTTGATGAATAAAGCCTTTGTTTTAGTTTCGGCAGGTGGTGCTGTCTACATGCTGAGTTTACAGCCTAACTGGCACTCTCATCATGGAGACAGTTGTGTTAAGGTCTAAGGGACTATTAAAGTCGGGGTTCCTGTTAGAAAAATACAGTTTCATGTTTGTGAATGTAAATACGATAGTTGTAGTGATCTGAAAGAAAATGGCTCCCATAGGGAGGAACACCATTAGGAGGTGTGGCCTTGTTAGATTAGGAGGACCTTAATGGAGAGAGTGTGGTGTCACTGTGGGGGTGGGTTTTGCGAACTATGCTCAGCTACCCCAGGGCCACAGTTCACTCCCTGCTACCTGTGGATCCAGATGTAGAACTCCTACCTTTTCTCCAGCGCCATGGCTGCCAGCACAGCACCGTGTTTCACCATGGACTGAACCTCTGAACCTGTTAGCCACCCCAATGAAATGTTTTCCTTCTAAGAGTTGCCATGGTCACGGTGTCTCTTCACAGCAATTGAAACCCTAAGTAAAGCAATAGGTAATCACTTGAGAGAGTAACCTCAACCATAATTGTTGAAACAGCCAAAACAAGACCCCTTCTTAGCTGAGGGCTGCCATTTGTGATATTTGCTAAGAACACAGGACTCTGTTAACATGTTTCCTTTTGTACAAATGACCAATTTGTATCTGAGAAGATGGGAGCTCTTATGTCCTGTGTGCTGGACACAGAAAATCTTGAGGTAAATTAGAGATAGGGCAGGAAACAACTTTCTAAATAAAGTACCTGTGGCTGGATGGTCTCATACCTGATGTTCATTTTCTCTGGCCCAGGGCAGTTCTTTGGGACACTGCATTGGAAGAAGGTTCAGTTTGACTTTAGGAGAATTAGGGAAGCCACATGTTAAAGAGACAAGTATCTAACTGTTCTCGGGTTTTATCTCTAGCACCCAGCAGATGAAATTTTACAAAATCCATTAAGAGCACATTAACGTCAGAATCATGAATAAGTGGGAGCTTTGCATGTGTAATAATGGTCAATCCTACTCAACATTTTTTGTCATGTGTTTTCTTAGAATTTCCTCTAAATTCAATGACTTGCTTTGTAGAGCTTTAGTTATTTTTTTTCCTAACCTTTCCTTTTCCTTTCTGTCTTAGTTAGGGTTTCTATTGCTCTGATGAGGCATCATGACTACGACAACTTTTAGGAAGTAAACGTTTAATTAGGGGTGGTTTAATCCATTATTGTCATGAGGTTTGGTTCATTATTGTCATGGCAGGAAGCGTGGTGGCTCAGAGGCAGACATGGTGCTGGAGAGGAAGCTGAGAGTTCTGTATTTCGATGGGCAGGTATAAGGAACAGACAGTGAGCCATTGACCTGATTTGAACATCTGAGACCTCAAGGCCTGCTCCCAGTGACACACATCCTCCAACAAAGTCACACCTCCTAATAGTGTGACTCCTTCCGGGGGAACAGTTCTATTCAAACCACCACACTTTCTTTTTCATCCCTCCCTTCTTTTCTTCCTTCTTTCCTTTCTTCCTTTCTTTCTTCCTTCCTTCCTTCCTTTCTTCCCTCCTTCCCTCCTTCCTTTTCTTTTCTCTCTCTCCCTCTCTTCCTTTCTTCATTCCTCCCTCTCTTCCTCCTTTCCTCTCTTTTTCTGTCTCTGTCTCTGTCTCTGTCTCTGTCTGTCTGTCTGTCTCTCTCTCTGGTGTTTTTGAGACAAGTTTGCTTTGGGTAGCCTTGGCTGTGCTGGAACTCCCTCTATAGACCAGGCTGGCCTCAGACTTAGAAATCCACCTGCCTCTGCCTACCTAGTAGTGTGTTTTTATTTTCATTTTGTTTTGTTTTTGAGACAAGATCTTACTATGCAACTCTGGATGGAATTCTCTATTTTGACCAGGCTACCCTCAAACAGAGACCCACCTGCCTGTGCCTCTTGAGTGCTCTAGCCAAGGCTGACTTAAACTCTTTCCCCCCTAGACTGGTCAGACCTTGAATTCACAGCAGTCCTCCTATTGCAACCTCCCAAATTCCAGAATTACAGGTGTGAGGCACCATATCCAGCTGATTTGGGCTATGTTTAATTAAGAAATAATGTTATGCATTAGGGTAAGGTCTAATGAATGATTATATGAATAAAATGGTCATAGTCTAAATATTTTGCATCTCTTATCAAGCCAATTCACAAATATTTAAATTGTGCTGCTCTTCTGATTTGCAATATAATAAAAATATGCTTCAGAAAAAAGCTGTGTACAAAAGAAGAGCCATAGACAATTTCTTTTCTTTCAAATTTATGTGTATGTGTGGGTGTATGCCACATGTATGTGGGTGCCCATGAAGATCTCCTAGAGCTGAAGTTACAGGTAGTTGTGTGCCATCCAACTTGGGTGCTGGGAACTGAACCCAGGTCCTCTGCAGGAGCAGCAAGCCCCTTAAACCACTGAGCCACCTCTTCAGCCATGGACAGTTTCAGTAATGATTGCTCTCTCTGTCAGTGGGAGTGTGTTAGCACCTTCTGATCCAAAGGACATCTGGCATCTGTGCCTCTCTGTTCCTCCCTCCCTCCCTCCCTTCCTTCCTTCCTTTCCTTTTTACTTTCATTTGTGTTTATTTTATGATGAATTTATTCCAATTTTTGTGTCTTCAGGGATACCTTTTTCACAGCCTCCTCTTATAGCTTCGGAACAATGTGTTCTTTTCAGCGAAGATCACCTCAGTGTGGCTCATGTGTAGGTTAATTCAGTCATGAGCTCTGGAAGTTCAATGACACCTTTTGGATGATTTGTTCACCTGGCTACATTCAACGACTAGAGAATCTACATTTCTGAATTTTAAAGCAGGTGTAACAGAAATTCAGCACTCTTTTTGGGCCACCAACCCTGCGTCCAGCCCCACAGTTTAGCATGGGCACACCTACCGACTCCACCATCCTATCGCCAGCACACATTGCTTCTTTAAAGAGACGTCTTTCAGGGCTGGAAAGACGGCTCAGTGGTTAAGAGCACTGATTGCTCTTCTAGAGTTCTGTTCCAACATCCACATGACAGCCCCTTGCCTGCTTCTGACCTCCAAAGGCACCAGGAGCTCATATGGTACACACCCATGTACAGGCAAACATTCATACACGTAAGATAAAAATAAATCTTTTAGTTGGACAGTGGTGGCACACACCTTTAATCCCAGCACTCAGAAGTGGAAGCAGGTGGATCTCTGAGTTTGAAGCTAGCCTAGTCTACAGAGCGAATGCTACACAGAAAAACCGTGTCTTGGGGAAATAAACCAAAAAACAAAAAACAAAAGAAACGCTCGGTGAGTTTTTGGATATGCATGTGCTTCACGGGTTTCTTAAAGTGAAGACAAAGACTTGAATGTCTTTATCTGCATGATTTTATAGGGTTTTCTGGGTCAAGAGAGCAGCGAGAACAGTCTTCTCAGGTCACCTCAGGACACTTACAGGAAGAACTGTTCTTCTTTTCATTTTTATCATAATACAATAATAAACGTGGCCTAATTGATGTGACTCAACACCACGTAAATACTAGCTGAGTCCAGGATGTCTGCATCGATACCAAACGTAGCAGCTTCTGGAGAAGCCTGCCCTCGGCAATGACAATGTGCTTTAGGGATTACCGACTTAATCAGAAGGTTGTTGTGCCAGTTGTGATGTTTCCACTCTTAGACTATGGTTGTCACTATTTTCTTTATTTCTAACTCACAGGTCACACGCTTTATTGAGATTAAAGCCACATCGTATACAACTCCCAGGTTTTAAAATTTCAAAGTACACATGTAGTTTATGGCTTTAAAGTGTATATTCCCCATGTTGTATCGCATTTATGTTTTTTTTATAATTCCAGAACATTCTGTCACCCCAGATTGGAACCTCACACCGCCCCTCTTTCTCAGCTTTCATCCCCTGTGAACCACAACCACTACTTTACTTTCTTTCTGTATTTTCTGTTTTGTACCTGTCGTATACATGGAATCTTGGGACCTTTTGTGTCCCGCTTCTTTCGTTTAGCCTAATGTTTTCTAGATTCATCCTTACTGTAGATATTCCTTTATCATTATGTGGAAACACCATTCTGTCTGTTCACTAGCCAGTGGACATTTGAGTTGCTTCTCAGTTTTGGTTTTTACAAAGGAGAGTGTGGCAATGGAGGCTGAACCTAGGCCCTTGCATATCAGGTATATGTTGGTGACAGGGGGAGAGGAGTGGAGAGAGAGTGAGTACGGGAGAGACAACTATAACTAGCTTTGGGGGATGGTGTGGGAACCTAGCAGTACAAACTCCCAGGATTCTACAAGGGTGACCCTAGTGAGGATTTCTAGTAAGGGAGGGGACTGGAGCCTGAAAGGCCATCTTCTGTAACCAGGCGACTTCCAGTAGTAGGATGGGAACGTCAACCCAAACACAAAACCTTCAACCTACAATCTATCTTGCCTAAAAGATGTGCGCAGTCCAACTTGCGAGCTAGCGCGGTGTGAAGACAAAATCAGATCCCATATGCAAGACTCTTCTTGTGGAAACTGACTGTGGGCATGCGCTCAGTAATATCATAGGAATATTTGTTGTAGCTTGCTAACCCCCTAATGCTCAGGGATGTGTAGTTAATTATAGCTTATCTAAATTGAAACAACACATTTGTATCACAGTAGATCATTTTCAGTCATTTATTATTGTGTAACAAACCTTCCCAAGTCCATAGCCTAAAACCGTGGCAATAATTCGTTTGTGGCTATGCAATTTAGGCAGGGCTCAGTGGAACAGCTCATCTGTGCCCCAGATGGCATTAGTTAGGGTGGCTCCAAAGACCAGTCAGAGGGTAGGTGACAAATGAAATCATCTGAGGACTTACTTGAGACCCTGTCTGGCAACGGGGACAGCTAGCAATCTTCTCTCCATGTGACTTTGGTTGTATTTTCCAGCTGTGTTAAAGCCAGTTCTTTTTTTTTTTTCTTATAGAAGGCTCAAAAGTCTAAAAGAATAGATAGACAAGTGGAGTTTCCATTTTGACTTTGCTATTCACTGTGTTGCTCACAACAAGCCCCTTCTCCCCTTTCTGAATCTCAGTTCTCAAATGTTATGTCTGGATTTAGTCTCAACTGTCCAGAAGAAGATGCTGAGGCAGAACTTAGCGAGGACATAATTTATTTGACAGTTAATTCCAGCACATATCAGAAAGAAGTTGGGAAGAGATACAGGGAAAGAAGCCAGGAAATGATGCTTAACCAAGAAAATACCACAGTCAGTAACTGGAGCTTAAAGGACAGCACAGAGTTACCTCACCTAAGAGTAAAGGGCGCCTGGGTATAATTTCCCTGTCGACTCTAGTCAGTCATTGCTTGAAGACAGCAAATTCGAGGTGGACTTGAGTAAATCTGGAAGCAGAGATGAGGCGCTGATGGACCAAAACTGAGTAGGTTTATAAGGAAAGCAGTGAGGTCTGAACGAATGTGAACATTCTTCATTGAATAATAATGGTCTTAAGATTATTGAGTAATTAAACGAGACAGCGTTAAAAAAAGAAAGAAAAACCTCCATTCCTGGTGCGAACGCACTCCCGGTGCTTTAGTAGTCCACATAACAGCATTTAGAGGAGCCCCGGAGGGTCCTGGAGCTTTTCCAACGCTGCCCACCAGACCACTCATCTGCCTAAGGCAGTCTCACAGAATGGCATTACCATAAGCCGGTTAGCCGCCACCGCGGAGTTCAGGGCTGATCCCTAAACTCTGTGCCTTTGCTTTCACTGCCACCCTTCAGAGGCTCCTCCGGGCTTTCCTGGGCACTCTCAGCCGCTTAGGATGGTCTCTCTTTTTTTCAGCTCCCTTTCCCATCCTCCACTGTGCTTTCTGGGACTCAAGTTCTGGTGTTACCGCCCACAAACGGTTGCAAACCCAACATTAAGATACTGGGTTCCGAAATTGTTCGTCATTTGGTAGTTTTTAATAGAGGAGTGAAAACAACCCAGTATTTCGGAAGGTTTTGGAGCGCAGGCTTGGATGACAGGAAAGATGGAAAAAAGCAAGACCACTCCTCCCCCCCACGCATGCACGCGCATGTATGTCTTGAAGTTGCCGCAATTGTCCATTTTGAGACGTGCGAGGTGAAAGATCAGTCTTGACACCAAACTCGAAGACTGTTAAACGAGTGGGCAGATAAGAAAGGGACAAAGCGAGGCACCTCATTACAAAATAAGCAGTGACCTCTGGTCTAAGGCTTGGGTTCTAGTTCAGGCAGCCTCTGACAGCTTTGCATTTTCCCGGGTGTAAAAAAGATTGTAGGCTGCATCTCCCGGGATTATTGCTCAGACCTAGACTGCGAGAACAACAGGGTAAACGCGCCAACCCTGTTCTCTCATGGATGCATTGGGAAAACGCGGGAGCAGCTAGCATCCTCGCCCAGCGGCTGCCACAGATGTGATGCTAAGTGCCAGGTAGCTGCGGGCACCCAAGCGGAGCCATCGCTTTCTGTAGCTCTCAGGCCCTCCCGGGAAGCAGCACACAGACAGATCCCACCGCCGCCTGGGCGCCGGGCTTTCCCGCAGCGCTACGCGTCCTGCTGCCGCGCGCTGTTGCTGGGGTCCGGGCACCGCCCTCTTTCACTATCGGCCAATGGCGGAGGGGCCAGAGCACCGCCCAGCTACAGAGCGGGCCAATGGCGGCGCAGAAGGGGCAACGCCCTGCTCCCCCACTGACCAATGGCAGCGTGCCCCGGCGCCCAGGCCGCCCCAGCCAGTCGAGGAGGCGGGCAGGCGGCCGCTAGCTCCGCCCCGCTCCCCTCTGACCCGGTGTCTAGTCGCTCTGTCTTCCTGTTCCAAACCACGTGGACGCGTCGGGGGCCGCCGTGGTCCCTGTCGCGTTCCCAGCTCCCGGCCCTCCGCGGACTGCGCGCACATGGCGACCCAGGCGCACTCCCTCAGCTACGCGGGGTGCAACTTCTTGCGCCAGCGGCTGGTCCTGTCCACCCTGAGCGGGCGCCCGGTCAAGATCCGGAGGATTCGGGCCAGGGACGACAACCCGGGCCTTCGAGGTGATTGGGGAGGGGGCGTGGAGGGCGGGGATCCGGGGTCGTCGTCGCGGGGCGAGTAGGAGGGTTGGTGGTCGGGCGGAGCGAGAGGCGGGTCTGGTCGGAGCTGCGCCACGCGTGGAACGATTCCCTGCGGCTCCCGGGCGCGGGTAGTAAACAGCTACACGTTTTCCTGGCTGGCGTGTTGCTACGAATCGTAGGCGTCACCCACGCACTTCCCTCTCTTGAGACTCTTGCTTTCGCCATAAACCTCTCAAAGGAGAAAAAAATAGTTTATTGAGCCGACATGTAGTAGTGAGTGGACGGACAGACGTTTGGAGAGGAAAGTATCCCTGGCTGCTTCCCCGTTCTCGTCCAAAGCAGGTCTCTGAAACCACTGCCCCCCTTGGACACCAGTTCTTGTAGCCATTGTGTCTTGGCCCCCCACATCTCTTCGGGAGTATATGACAAAATTTTATTTTTAAATGATGTGCTTGTTTCTATTGGTGACTGATGTGCGCAGTAGAGGAGCTTTGAGATGGGTTTTTGTTTTGTTTTTGAAACGGGGTCTCATATTGCCCAGGCTGGGCTCAAACTTGTGTAGCTGAGGTTGACCTTCAACTCCTGTTCCTTCTGCCTCCACCTCCCAAGTGTTGGGATTACAGGCCTGCTACATTTCGCTCAACTGAGAAAATTTTAATTCATAGATCTAATTGTCTTGACTTCAGGAAAAGGAACACCAAACAGTAAGCTATAGGCTTCAAGCTCTTTTATTTATTTATTTGCTCCACAAAGGCAGATGGGTTAAACTTGTCATTTGGACCCACATCTCATTAAATGGTTTTGGTTTTCAGCTGTTCCCCTAGAATTTAGAATTTAGGTCCATGTTCAAAAGTGTCTCTTTAATCTTAAGGGACACATTAAGACAATTGAATCAAAACCTTCTTGTAGCCTGAAGGTAGAGAGGGTCTGGAGTTGGTTCAGGAGACTTTCTGGGTCAGGCTGATGTGTTTAACTCTGTAGAGCCTCTTGTAATAGATGGCTAGACCAATTTCATTATCTGTCTGAATATATATATATATACACACATATATATCTCATATATGTGTATATATATACATATATATGATATATATATATATCTATATATATGATAGTTTTGTTTCTGCCACTCTTGAAGTTTTGTGATGGAAACAGAAGGCTAGAAAGGAAGACACTAGAAGGTTTGGTAAGGTCAGGGTTAAGTTCATGTCCTCCCTATATTGCTGGAGAAGACACTGGGCTTGGAGACACCTATAATCCCAGCACTCAGGAGGCTGAGGCAAGTGGGTCTCTGTGAGTTAAGAGGCTAGCCTGGTCTACACAGTGAGTTCCAGGCTAACCAGGGCTACATAGACCCTGTTTAAAGAAAAAAAAAACCGAACAACAACAACAAAAGCAGATTAACAAACCAAAACTGAAAGCAAGCAATCAAAAAAAAAAAAAAAACCCCTCAAAGTTGAGGCGGAGGCACTGAATAGTTAGTGCTCTTTTCCCTCGAATCTCTCACCACCCCCAGTTTTAAATCTGGTGCTTGGGAAAAGTTATTGCTTGGTCTGCCTTGCTGTGTTTTCAACCCCGGATTAGCCTGGAGACCTTGTTTCTGCTATGACCACTGGGCGCAGGATTTAGCCCAGGTGGGCTTTCTTTCACAAATACAACGCTCATAAGATACAATTCAGAGTTGACTCTTGATCGGTGCCTCCCAGTACAGTAGCCATGTTTCCACGAACTTGAAGGGAACTCACATAGGAGCTCCTGTTTCTTTCAAAAACAGGACTTGACCCTGGCGTTTTTCTGAAAGGGTAGGGGATGTGGTACCTGGGGAGGTGGTTATTTTATGGGATGCGCCATTGTAAACTATTGTTCTCCTTACCTCATGTTTTAGGGTTCTGTTGTTGTAATAAAAGACTTATGTCCGAAAGGAACATGGGGAGGAAAGGGTTTATTACAACATAAGTTGTAGTCTATCAGGAGGGGAAGCCAGGGCAGGAACTCGAACCAGAGACCAAGGAAGAATGCTGCTTACTGGCTTGCCCAGTTTGCTTTCTTACTACCTGCCCAGGGGTGGCATCACCCACAGTGGGGTTGCCACCCACACTTATCATCAATCAGGTATATGTCCCACAGGCTTACTGACAGGCCAGTTGATGTGTTGGGTGCACTTTCTGAATTGAGAGCCCCGTCTTCTCAGGTGACACTGATTTGTGTCGAATTGACAGAAAAACCTAACCAGCCGCCTCCTCGATGTACTAGTATAATAGAGACCGCCACCTAAGACCTTGCGCTGAGTCCAGGGCTTCGGAACCTTCTAGCTAGATACTTGTCTGTTGGGGAATATTATTTTCGGGTGTGTGACTTTTGTTTACACTGCATTTGTTTAACTCTGTGAAGCTGTGTTGCTGTGCCTGTCTAAAACACCTGATGGTCCTAATAAAGAGATAAACGGCCAATAGCGAGGCCGGAACAAGGATAGGTGGGACTGGCAAGCAGAGAGTATAAATAGAAGGAGAACTCTGGGAGGAGGAGAAAGAGCAAGGAGCAAATGAGTGAACAAGGAGAGGAGGACACCACAGACCAGCCGCCTAGCTACCCAGCAAGCCACGGAGAAATAAGTAAAGAAACGTAAATAGAAATAGAGAAAGATAAAATCCCAGACACGAAAGATAGTCGGGATCCTTTAAGTTAAGAAAAGCTGGCAAGAAACAAGCCAAACAAAGACCAGGCATTCCTAATTAAGAATAAGCCTCCATATGTGATTTATTTGGGAGCTGGGTGGTGCCCACCCCCTCAAAAAGCCAAATGAGTAAAACATCCTATAACACTTGTCTGTCTGGTTGCTTACAGAGGGACCCAGATACATATCTCTACTTTTATTTGTAGACGTAACATGAATGTTAGTACGGAAACAGGTTAAGTGTGCATAATATACACATAAACAAACATGTATGTAGCCTCAGACACATGATTTGGGCAGTCAAATCCATGGGAACTTCATCTATCTCTGTCTGCCTCTTCTTGACTCGGATTACGGAATTTGGAAAATAACTCGAAAATAACCAATATAGTCTCCAGCTGAAATGCAAAAATCAATCACATTCCCCAAAGGTGCTTGCTTAAATATTTCAAAGGGAGTGCATTTTGGAGGAGGCATGCCTCGGAACCATTCAGAAGGTGATTGAGCCTCATGTGCACTGCTTTGCGGTAGCGGGGTATAGGTATAGGTAGAAGTTGGTCGCCCTTGCGCTCAGGGGGCTTGTTCTCTACAGGAGGAACTTGAGTGGAATAGCATGAAGTAGCAAGGATCTAGTGTGCTGGAGAGACTCATTGGAGCCCAAGTTGTAAGGAAGACAGACTTTGTGGATGTCCTTCAGAAAGTGATAGTGGAAATGGTAGCTGTGGGGGTCATCACAGGTGAAAGAAGCAGTTCTCTTAAGCAGTTTACTTTATTTTTTATCATTTTGTATCTGTCTGTGTCAGAGTGTGCTCTCAGGTTGTCCTCTGACCTCTATTAGTATGCGGCTATATATACATACCCACCCCATACACACATAAAAAAAAATGTTAAAGCAAGATCCATTTCTGAGCCTCAAGTTTTTTTATCAGTAAAGTGGACTCAAGTAGTCCTGCTTTGTGGGATTCTTATGGGGACTAACTAATACTTGGTTGTCATGAGCAGGGCCCAGTGAGCAGGAGGAACAGATGCTGATGGTTTATTGTGCTGATTCTACTGAACAGTGGGTAAAGTTGTGCTGTCTAGTGTAACAAGCCTTTCTCTCACCATTGGAAACTCCGAATATTTCAAGAGAAGTATGTTGTTCTTTGAAGTTCCCTTTTAGGTGATCAGTTCTACATATTTGCAGATTGTTGGTAGCTTTGCCCTCTGCGATGTTGACAGTATTTAGAGACATTTTGGGGTATCACTGGGGAGAGCCCAAGAAACTGCTAATACCCTACAATAATGTACAGAATGGACCTCACAGTCAAGAATTATTCTGTATATTAGTAGCAATTGTATTGAAATGTCAGTACTGGGGTTTAAAAACTCTGAGACATTAATAATTAAAGCTTTTGAGTTATATTGCAATTTTTTAAGAGTAATGGCAGGTATTATTAGAACTGCCTAAGGAATTAGACATGACAGTATTTATCTCTGTGACCTATCATAGAGAAGAAGGCTACAGAGGAAGACCCTGGGTTTCAGAAGTGGATGAGAATTGGGTCATGTCCAAGCCCTGGGACTTCAGACAGAGAAGTTGATATGTTAAATAAAATTGCCCTTTTTCTGTATATAGAGGTTAAATAATGAGAAGAAATTGGACTCCAAAGAAAGGTGGTTCTGGAATGGTTCCAGTTAACCCTTCAGACACACCCAGTATGGTGGCACACAGTTGCTTTAACCCCAGCACTCAGAAATGGAGCCAGGAGGTTAGCGGGGTCAAAGGACAGCCTGGGTTTCTTGGTGAATTTTAGGTCAGCTAAGCCAACGTTGCTCAACCTGTAGGTGGAAACTTCATGGGGGTAGGGGTCAAACGTCCCTTTCGCAGGGGTTGCCTAAAACTATCGGAAAACACAGATATTTACATTACGGTTCATAACAGTAGCAAAATTACTGTCATGAAGTAGCAACGAAAATAATTTTATGGTTGGGGGTCACCACAACATGTGGAACTGTAAAGGGTTGCAGCATTAGGAAGTTTGAGAACCACTGAGCTAAGCGAAGTAGCCGGAACTTGTCTAAAAATACCAAAAAAGCAAAAGCAATGAAAGTATAACCGTACACAACTTATATTTCACTTTTGAACACAACCAGTTATACCGTCTCATTGTATTCTTTGCGTCAAAGAAGAAGTAATATTTCTGTTGTTGTTTCTGTCATTTTATTGAAAGTAAGATAGCCAGGATAGTTAAGTGAGTTGATGGGTTTAAGTGTCTTATTTAATGAGGGCTACAGTGTTCGGCCAGCTCCGGCCTGAGCGGCTTCT